CGCCAGCTTCCGGGGGAGGCCTGGGCCCAGCCCGGCAGCGCCTCGGCCACCGCCCTGGGCCATCCCAGGGGCATGTGGGGGTGGCACGAGGCGCAGCGGGGCGCGAAGGGCCCGGCGGGCGGTGGCGGCGCCGGCGGGCTGGAGCCCAGGTCCCCCGCGTCCCCGGCACGCGCGGCCTGCCCGTGGCACTCCTGGTGCCCGCAGGACCAGCGGGGCGCGGGGCTGGCGCGCAGCACGAGGGAGAGCGCGGCGATGCGGTGGATGGCCCTGCGCAGCGTGGCGATCTTGGAGAGCCTCTTGCCGCCCAGGTCGTGCCGCAGCGCGCGGCGCAGCGCGTTGAAGGCCTCGTTGTAGTCCAGGATGCGCCTGCGCTCGCGCACGTTGGCGGCCATGCGCCGCGCCTTGGACCGCACGGGCCGGCTGCGCTTTCTACTCCCGGCCACCTCTTCCGCCTCGCCCAGGTCTCGGGGGCTGCCATTCTCCCTCAGCACCCCCAAATCCCTCCCAGCTTCCAGGCAACAGTTCCCCAAGTCCTGAGGAGAGCCCTCAGCTCCTTTCAGGCCCCTGAGGCCTGATCCTGGCGCGCCTGGGTGCATGGCCTCCTCCCGGGCCTCGCTGCCCCGGCTCTGGCTCCCAAGGCTGACAGTCCACCTTCTGAGCGTGAACTCCTGCAGCCTGGACACTCCGGGACAGGCCCTCTCTAGCTGGGGCTTTATGGCACCACGTGGCTCTCCGCCCTCCTCATCCATCCATCTCCCTCCTCCTGCTTTATGACCTGCCTCCAGGTAGGTTGGTGAGGGAGGAACCCAGAGGGAGGAAGCATGCAGATTCTTGTAGGAAGGGTCCAGACGGGCAGCGGGACCCGCCCAGGGCAGTGTTCCAGCCACTGGGAGACCTGGCCCAGCTTCACTCCAAGGCCTCTCTGGAGTGGCTGGGGTCCACATTCTTCGCCCTGTGTGCCAAATCTGGCCTGCGGGCAGGAGAGCTGATAGGCACACAGAAGGGACCCAGTGGTGGTTGAGCGTGTTTAAAGAACCCTGAAAGTTTTGTCAAGACCTGTGGGCAACCACAGGACTGTCACAGAGGGTAGCATGAGTGTTCCAGCAGGACCCATAAGGGAGGGGGCAAATCTGAGACCACAGGGCCCTGCAGTTAAGATGGACCTGGAGTTTCTGGCTCTTTCAGCTCCCAGAGTGAGGCTGGCTGGAATTCCGGGTTTGGGTTTTGCTTGGGCCTTATTCACCCTCTAGGTTTCCCAGGAGGTGCTAGTGATAAAGAATCTGCTTGCAATGCAGGAGACCCGTTTGATCAAACTGAAAATGCATTTTGATCCTTGAGTCAGGAAGATCCCCCGGAGGAGGGTATGGCAACCCGCTCCAGTATTCTTGCCTGGAGAATCGCATGAACAGAGGAGCCTGGCAGGTTACAGTCCACAGCGTTGCAAAGACTGAAGCGACTTAGAACAGCACACACATACTCACCTCTTACATCTCTTTAGCTCTCTCTCTTGCAGGCAGAGCTGAGCCGAGTGCTAACTCAGAGGGTAGTGGAAATTGTCTTGTGGTCCACTGGCTCCCCTTGTGGTACCCATCAGGGGCATCTTTTGGAGTCCAAAGTCATCGAGTAGCCCTGTCTCAGGACATAGCACTGCTGTGTTATGAACTCAGTTAACCCACCCCCACCCCAGGGATTTAAAATTTACATAGGGTCTCAGAAAGAATAATGCTTAATCCTAGAGAAAGACCCCACCACCACCCAATGGAATTTCAGGCATCCACAAGTAAGTTATATGAAGCACCAAGGTCAATGTCATTCCCATTCACAATCCAGATGCCTCCAAATTGCCAAGACTGTGGTATCAGCTGGGGTGGGTATGGAGTTCACACTCATCTTGCCAAAGAACAGACCAATAACCCTGTTATTTCAAACTATGCCTTGCTCCTTGGAGAAGACGAGTAAGGCTGTTCTTTTATTTTCTGTGTTGCCTACTAGTCCCTAAGTACCCTAAGGACGTTATATTTCTGGGGCTCTATTTCCCAGACCTGAAGTATCTGTGAAATTTAAAAGTGAATGAAAGCAGCTAGAACTGGATGTTTTGTCCTCTAGATTCAGTTTGTCTCCCATTGTCCTCAAAACACACACACAGTTGTAGAGAAATGCAGACCTCAAGCAGGATTCGGCCCTCAGCATGGCCACAGGTGTCATGGGGTGCATCCAGGGTGTCAGTCTCACGGGTCTCAGCATGGGAGGCAGGGAAAAGGTCAGAACCCAGACATAATGGTCCCCGAGTGTCACATTCCACAGCCACCTCTGCTCCCACCCCATCCCTGTCCCTTATCGCCCCCCCAAGGCCACTCTAGAGAGCTGAACCACTTTCCTGCTCACTGGCCTTGCCTAGCCCCTAAGAAAAGCCTGGCCCCTGGGCTCAAAGGCAGACACATCAGGAGGGAACAGGTGGGCCTTTCAGTCCCAGAAGAGCCAGGGAGGGGTGATTTGTTGGTGAGACGGGGGAGACTTTTCCCTCCCCAACCACCCCCAGCCAGTGGCTCCTTCCAAAACTTCCCCCTTCAAGGGCACAGTTGGATATAACAGATGCGTACTATAGACAGGCATGGTACTAAGTGTATTTTTTAAACATACATTATCTTAGTCTCATAGCAATCCTATATGGAAGGCTCTACTATTATGACACCCATTTTACAGACTGGAAACTGAGACTCTGAGAGTGTGAAGTTATTTGTCCCAAGTCAAAGGACTAAGCTGCTGCCAAGCTAGGATTTCAAGTCAGCCAGTGTGTTTCCTATTTGGAGACCAAGTTTTTAACCCCTCTGGGCTGGGCCTGCATTCTGGGCGTCCCCACCCAGCAGCCCCCTCTGACCACCTGTAGGTGATAGAGGCCTTGCCTCTGCCCTTTGAAACAATAGTCATTGAGATAGTCAAATAGTGTCAACCACCTGTGAAAAATAAAAAGCACTTGACTGATACAGAGAAAAGTGGGAAGGGGGAAAGGGAGGGAGGAACCTCCAAATGACGAGAGACAAGCAGGGTAAAAGTAGAGAATATGGGCTGGAAGCTAGGAGCAATCCAGAGCGCCCAGCTTTACCTGCCTCCTGCACTGAGATTCGCTGCCTGGGATCTCCTTGGCTAATTCTAACTCTGTCCCCAGCTGAACTGATGGCTGCTGGACCCCAGGGAGACCAGAAGTGACAGGCCAGTGACTACCTGCCAACCTGACCCTGGACTGCAGGTGAGCCAGGGCCGGGGGGAGTCAGGAGTAGCCTGAGGGCACCCAAGAACAGCCCACAGCAACCTTCATGCAGGTGCTGGAAAGGCCTCTGCCTACCAGAGTTCTGGATGCAGTTCAGTGGCCTGAGGTTGGTCACCAGCCTCCAGTGCTTGCTAATCTTTCCTCCTTGGGAAGCCTGCCCTGAACCCTTCACTTCTGTGCATTACCCCATCTTTGAATTTAGCAGAACATGTTGTCCATTTTCCCCTTCCTATTTATTTTTTTATTTTTTTAATTCCCTGATGACTCAGACTGTAAAGAATCTGCTTGCAATGCAGAAGACCCTGGTTCAGCCCTGGGTCAGGAAGATCCCCTGGAGAAGGGAATGTCTACCCACTCCAGTATTGTAGCCTAGAGAATCCCATGGACAGAGAAGCTTGGCTGGCTGCAGTCCATGGAGTCACAAAGAGTCAGACACAATTGAGCAACTAACACATTCATGTTTTTCACTTCTTTTCATTGCACTTTTTTCCCCTCTTATTTTTAAATTAATTTTTTATTGAAGTATAGTTGATTTACAATGTGCTTGTTTCAGGTGTATAGCATAGTGATTCAGATATATATATATATACGCACACACTTTTTCAGATTCTTTTTTCTTATTGGTTATTATAAGATATTGAGTATAGTTCCTTGTGCTATACAATAAGTCTTTGCTGGTTATCTACATATTGTACTTTTATGTTCATGTTGCATCTGTATCCAGGTGACTTCTATATTCCCAGTTCCTAGCACACTGCCTGGTACAAGGTAGGTCAAAAGAAATAATTGCTGAATGTTGAATAAATGGTGTCTCCCTGATATTAAGATATTCACAAAACTCTGGAAATTTCACACTAGTCTGGTCAAACAAGCTCTATATTCAAATCCAGTGAACATTTATTGAACATGTACCAAATTCCAGGCCCAGTGCTATAGACCGTCACATGTGTTGACAGCCACGAACATGTGCATTAAATATATAGAAGCTCCATATTAAAATAGAGGGAAGTAATCTTTGCAGCCAAAAAGAAATGCCCAGGAATCCTCCACCCACCTCAGGGAAATTTGGAAGTTATCAAAGCTGTGTTCTCAAATGTGCCTGTAATGGCAGCAGCAGTCTAACTTCTGGGACCTCACCCCACATCTACTGAATACAAAATTCTGTGTCAAAAGCGAAGTGGTTCAAATGCTCAGAAATATATATGCTATTCGCTCTTTCAGAATCTGGGCCAGTGATTATTCAATTTTACCTTGCTTAAGGAGGACTGACTTCAGGATTGTATACATAATACCTTATTTAAGGTTAAGTCTTTTTCAGAGATAATTTTGACTACACACAATTTGCTTCTTGCACTTTAGCCTTAGAATATCCTCACCCATAGTTTGGATGGAGGTGGGGGAAAAAACAGCTCATGGCAATAGACAGCTGTGGGGCTTAAACATAACAAAATAGTCACAGAAAATAAGCAAGGGAAAAAATGAGATGAACCACAAACTTCTCTGCCGGCCCCCTACCATGAACCCTCAAATCCATAGGAAAGGGAGGTTAAGGAACGCAAAGAAAATGTCCCAAGGGCCCAAGATGTCTGATCCTGGGAGCGGGGCTGCCCTTGCACCCCTTCGCTAAAACAGTTCTGGCTTCTCCTTCCCGAGTGTCCTCCTTCTGCAGGCCGGCTCCCCACTCCCGACCCTTTCCCTGCACAGTCTGGGCTCCAAATGAGTAATTCTGAGGTCACACTGGCCGGACAAATGGCCGGGGTTCGCCAAGAGAAGCGTCCCCGCCCCACTCGGCCGCCTTCCCACGAATCCCGGGAATCCGAGTGGACTCGGCGTGATGATCCCCGGCTGGGACCCCGAGGGCGTGCTGCTCGCAGCCGGGCTCGAGCCGGGCGGGGGTCGGGCCGACTTCAAAGGCGGGCGGCGGGGCAGGCATTTCCGCGGCACCTGCAGCGGCGGCCGGTCCTCCCTCCGCGCGCCTGGGATCCGCCCCCGCCGGGAGCGCCGCTTCTCCCCGCCCCGCCGCCGGGAGGCGGGGCCGCGGCCGTGATTTAGGGCTGGGCGATTCCGCTGGCGGCCGCCAAGGTGCCAATTACCGCTCGGCCGGGCCTGGATTTCAGAAATTCCTGCTCTTCCCCTGGAAGTTCTGGCGTCGCTTCCCCAAGGGAAGACACTACTCCCACCTTGGGGAGAAAACCGGGATCCTGGGACGGGCTGTGCGGAGAAACCGACCCCAGCGGGGTCCCGGGAGCCCTGTCATCCCCGGAGAGCTGAGCTCTAGAAAGGCCGGCAGCCTTCCTTCTCTCCCAGGCCGGGGCCCTCAGCGGTTCAACTTGGAGATAAACTTGGTTTGGGGGGAATTTGGAATCCGGCGGATTTGGGCTCAGTTTCAGGCTCTTACCCCTTCATTCAACAACAAAAAATGTGTTGATATCTTCGTATTCTGGGTACCGGTGCAGCGTAGTGAATGAAACAGAAAACACCCCCTTTGAACAGCGTGGACGAGGGATCTAACGCAGACTCCATTTGAGAATACTTGACCATAGGGACTTCCCTGGTGGTCCAGTGGTTAAGACTCTGCGCTTCCAACACAGGGGACTCAGATTCGATCCCTGGTCAAGGAACTAGATTCTGCGTGGCACAGCTAATGCCTGGAGCCATCAATTTTTTTTAAAAAAGTGAAAGTGATATCTCATAGTTACGGGGCGGGGGAGGGGAGGAATGAGGCTGCTATAAGGATCCAGAGGAGGGAGAAGGGGCCTGAGCTATGCAGGTGGTTGTGAGAGAGGCGGGCTGGTATCCTCACTTGTTCGTAAAGTAGAATTGGCACATGGGGGTGGCCAGCTGAGTGTTAAGGATGATGAAAAGGAAAGTGTTATCATCTCCATATCCTCCTTCAAGAATCTGAGGCCTGAGATTTCTGAGCAGCCCCTAGTGATGGGTTTTCTGAAGTGTAAGGTCCAATTTTGGATGAGAGGAAGGACAGAGAGCTGATGACGTTCCAGTCACTTCTTCGCAGGGACTGGGAGACCTGGGGCACCTGGGACTTGCAGTGAATATTTTTGTTACCATGGTTTGCTCTGCAGCATTGGTTTTTGTTGTTTGTTAATTTTTTTAAAAAAAACATTTATTTATTTTGGCTGTGCCAGGTCTTAGTTGTGGAATGCAGGATCTTTGATCTTTGTTGTGGCATGGGAGATCTTTTTAATTGTGGCATGAGAGCTGTTAGTCACGGCATGTGAGATCTAGTTCCCTGATCGCTGGGCTCCGTGCCTTGGCAACACGGAGTCTTAACCACTGGATCAGCAGGGAAATCCCTGCAGCATTTGAATAGTCAATCTGGTGGAAGGGACACCTCTATAGGAGGAGGGCTTGGGTGGGAAAGACTCCTAGCAGCTAGAACAGGCAGGAGTCCAGGAACTTGATGCCTTGTATGTGGAGCAGGGGTCCCAGAGAAACAGGCTCCTGGGGAGAAATTGCCTGTACTGGGCCAGTAGCCTCCAGTGCCATGTGGGGGCATCCGCAGGAGGTTACTAGCTAGTTTATGGATCCAGCCACCCAGTTTCCTGTAATTCTGATGAGTTTCCCAAATTTAATCCCATTAAACTTTCCACTGATCCTGTACGCTATCTCAGAGCTACCCAATAACTTCCTTTTCTGCTTAAGTGAACCAAGGTGACTTTTGTTGTTTACAACCAAAATCCTGACAACCTAGAGCAGAGAATAAATAACTGCCTTGTCTCTCCTCTTACTCCTAAATCAACCGCTGTACCTACCTTGAGACCTGGGGTAGGTAACTTAACCTCTCTGAGCCTCAGTTTCCTCAGCTATAAAATGGGTTAATAGTGTTGTTAGTCACTTAGTGGTGTCCGACTCTTTGTGAATCCCTGGACTGTAGTAGCCTGCCAGGCTCCTCTGTCCATGGGATTCTCCAGGCAAAAATACTAGAGTGGGTTGCTATTCCTTTCTTCAGGTGATCTTCCCAACCCGGAGATTGAACCTGGGTCTCTCACATCATGGGCAGATTCTTTATCATCTGAGCCACCAGGGAAGCAAATGAATTGGTAACTGCCTCATAACTGGAAGGCCCTCAGTGCAATGTATGGCATATAGTTGGCACTTCATAATATTTAGTTTTGTTATTATCCTTTTTCTGGCAGACTTAGCCCCTCGGGGGTTCTTTCTTCCAAGTTTAGCAGTGATATGGTCCTCTTCCCTGCTCCTACTCCCAGCCCACAGAGTAACATCCCCCAATCAACCACCTCCCGACAGCATGTTCCTACTTGGTCTAAAGGTAGAATATTTCTTGGCTCTTCACCTACACTCACCTCTGCTGTGCCTCTAACAATGAACAGCAGAATGGATGTTTGGGCTCTGGAATAAGACCATCACTTAATAACTGTATAGCGTTGGGTAAGATACTCCATTAACCCCTCTGAGCCTCAGTTTCCTTATCTGTAAAATGGGGATATATAGTAATACTGCTTCATCTGATTTGTTGTGAGGATTAAATAAAACAGTATGTTAGACTCTCATAACAGGTCTCTGCTCCTCTAAGGTGCTCTATGAATAGTAACTTTCTCCTGCTGCTACAACTCTGCTCCCTTCCCCCAGGCAGTCTGGTACTGCAGCTATAAATCATCCAGAAACCAAGAGCATCCTCCTCCCTCCCACCCCAGTACCAAACTCCTCATCACCTCACCCACTAATGACTTGGTGATTGGCTTCTCATTAAAGCAATGACAAAGAGGCCTCTGTGCTTTAAGCTGGGTTCTAATGGTAGATCGGCCCCAGGGTCAGTCGGGGGTAAAGTAGGAATTCTGGGCTCGGCTTGTGGAGAGCTCTGTATTTCTGTCTCCCAGGCCAGCGGACTGGCAGACAAGGGAGCCACTGCCCTGGCCTGGAATTCTCAGGACAGGGCACCGCTATTGTGGGTAGGGAAACTGGGCTCCTACCCAGGGTCGGGAAGCTGACAGCCGTGTGTGGTCTGCCTTCCTGAGATTCAGTTTTCTCATTTGTCAAGTGGGAATAAATGATAATACCTGCCTGGTAGGGTAGGTGTGAAGATAGAGATAAATCAAATGTAAATTTCTAAAACTGTGTAGGTGTGCATAAATGGCAGCCATTGTTATTGTTGTTGCAATTGCTTTATTATTGAATTTTTAAAAGTTGGAACCCAAGTGCCAGTTTTTCCAACTTCAATTTGGTAAATAGTTTATTCTGTCTCCAGTGATTTGTCATGCCACATCTCTATAATGGCACCTCCAACCATCTCTGTTTAATGCCTGTCTGATCTGAGAATCTCTTGGCCTCATTGTTCATTTCTAGAATCATCTTGAGTGTTCTTGGTTCATTACACTTTCAAGGGAATTTCAGAATCCCTTTGTTTAATGTAATCATTCATGTGATTATTCTTCTGTGACTCTTTCATATCTCTTCTGTGTATATTTCTTTCTCAAGGTGGCTTCCCTCCTGGTGGCAAAATGACTGCAAGAGTTCTAGGAATCATACACGTGCTCCATTGTGTACAAAAGGGGCAGAGATTTATCCCTCAAATCCTGACCCATAGAAACTGTGAAATAATAAATGCTCATTGTCATTTTAAGCCAATATGTGGGGTTTTTTAAAGCACGTTTCTTCTTTTAATTTATTTTTGTTTATTTATTTGGCTGCACTGGGTCTTAGTTTTGGCACACGGGATCTTTGATCTTTGATGCAGCACATGGAATCTTTTAGTTGCAGCATGAGGATCTAGTTCCCCCGACCAGGGTCCCCTGCATTGAGAACTGCAAGTCTTAGCCACTGGACCATCAGGGAAGTCGCTAAGCCAGTACCTTTTGAGGTAATTTGTCACACAGCTATCGATAATGAACACAGCAGTTAACGTTTCCCAGCCTTTCCTGCAGTTGGCTGAATTCTGTTAATCTGAACAGAAGTGGTGTGTGTCACTCCCAGGCCTGTCCATAATGCAGCCCCTCACTCCTTCCCTTTTCTCCTGGTGCAAAGACCTAGGGCAGCCATGGGAGCCACAAGCTAAAGATTGCAGAGTCCAAGAGAAGGAGCCAGGTTCTTCATTCTGCCTGGAGGAAAACTGCCCGGAAAAACTGCCTGACCAGGAAGACTCACCTGAATGATTACACGAGTGAGAAACTTTCACGTTTAAGCCTTCGAGTTAAGGCATCTATCGCCTTTCGCATCTAATATCATCTTCACTAGTACACTTTTCATATCGCATTTTACAGATCTTTTAAAAATACAATCAATGTTCATTTAAATGTGCTCATATATTTACTGATTTCTTTGCTTTGCATCTCAGACATGCCATGTGGAATCTTCTTTTTTTTCTTGCCTGAGTTATATCTTGTAGAATTTCCTCCAGTGAGAGCCCACTAGTAATGACTCTGTCACCTTTATTTCTCCTGTGTAAGTCTGGTCGGTTCTAATTTTTTATTATTATTATTTTAAATATTTACTTACTTATTTGGCTGTGCGAGGTCTTAGTTGCAGCACTTGAGTTCTTTGATTTTTGGCACAGCATGCAGGATCTTTAGCTGCAGCATGCAAACTCTTAGTTGAGGCATGTGGGATCTACTTCCCAGACCAGGGATTGAACCTGGGCTCCCTGCATTGGGAGCATGGAGTCTTAGCCACTGGACCACCATGGGGGTCCCTGTTCTTTTTGAATCACTTTGAAGATATGATGTTGTCTTCCTATTTCCATTGCTGTGGATGAGATGTCAGCTTCAGAATAACTGTTGCTCCTTTGAAGGTATTTGTGTTTTCCAGATTGGTTTTGAAATCTTTTCACTGTTTTTAGTTTCTGATATATCACTATGACACATTGAAGTGTGTGGGTTTAAAATATATATACATATGTATATCTATATTCTAGGATTTGTTGGGCTTCTCAGATTTGTGGTTTGTTACCTCTTCTCA